AATATATATATATATATATATATATATATATATATATATATTTACAATTATTCTATTATTTCGTTCGATTTAAATACGGTAATCCAAAATATTTGATTCGAAAATCTCTCCACGATCCATAAATAAAACTATCAACCATAAAAATATAATAAAATTAAATTCTGGAAACGCAAAAAGTTCTAATCATACGCGATTCTAAATTACAAAATTCCCACGCGAATATATATTCAAAACGCTTCGAAAGAAACTGTTATAACTTTCAGATCAGATTATAATTTTCCATCTTCCCCTCCAAAAAAAAATTATTCGCAAACTTTCGTTAAATAAATCTTCCTGTAAAACAGCAAGTTCTAGCAAATCTCTTCTTATACTTCGACCACCTCTATATACAAAGTACAAAAACGATTCGTAAATTCGATAGATGATAGAAATAAAAAGAAAACGAATTCCTTCCCCGTCAATCGACCACCGACACACACGTCGTTCCCGGTGAACAACCGACGAAATTGTCCCTTCCCCTTACTCCTCCCCCCATCCCCCTATCAAAAGGGAAATAGTAAAGTAGTAAATCGCCGGCAACGCGACGGGGTTAACAAATCCAATCGCGCGATAATTCACGATCGGAGTTAAACGGAGTTGCTGCCCAAGTGCTTCAGGAACGTGATGTTTCCAGGTGTCGTCATCGCGTCATCGTGGCGCGGGGCTTAACGAGGCGCAGTTAACGTCGGCCCGTCGTTAGGTAACGCGAGTGGAGGACGCTGCTCCTCGTCCCCCCCCCCCCTCGTCCCCCCAAATCCTCGAAATTGCCGCCACGATTGCTGGAACGGTTGGATGGTGCGGTGAGAAACACGGTGGTTCCGCGTTACGAGGCCGCCTCTCGATCACTCGCGATTCCGGGGCGGAATTTGGAGGGGAGGATGGAGGGGCGGCGGATCGTCGAGGGGAGAAGATGAGAGGGGGACGTGAGGGATCCTACTCCTGCTGGATGTACGAACAAGTGATCCCATGAATTCCACGGTTGTTGGATCGTTGGATACGGGTTTGGGCTGGTGAAAGAAGAAGCTGGGTGTGTAATTTCTTCGCCGTATTATCGAAGATTGGATTGTGCGAGGAAGAGGAAGGGAGGAAAGGAGGGGAAGGAAGTCGAGAAAGGAAGATTTGGCAGAGGCGAGGAGGAGGATCGGTTGGGTGAGTGTGTTGATGATCAATTATTTGGCCAATTTTGTCGGAAAGCTGTCTCCTTCTTTTTGGATTTGAATGGGTTTGAAGTTTCGAGCCGTCTTCCTTGTAAGATTTCCTTGCAAGGATTCGTGGAAGGAGGACGGAACGAAGAAAATATATTATTCGATATTCTTACAGTACAAGTAATGGGGAAAATAATATAAGGAATCGCGAGTTATATATATCTGGAGTAGGCAAGAAATTAGAGACTAACGTAATCGAATTTATAATAATTAAATCAATACTTTGGTTCGATCAATATATGTACGAAAAGTTTTGAGAAGCGATCGTTGGTTATACGTAGAAGAAAAAGTCGAAACGATATCTCTTAGATATACACAGATAAATATTTCAAGCCCATTGAAATCAATGAAGAGGTAGCTTCTCGATAATCATACATCCAATATTCCATAGTATGATATAAAATATAGATACACGTATGTCCGGGTGGTACATTTATTAGCGGTTCCTCCGCGATTCGATAATACTGATTTACATATTTCCCGATAACACCGCATATTTCGACATACCGCGTTAGAGCTGTAATCATGTGTGTAATTCTCATCCGTACGAACGATGGTTACAACGATAGAGGTATTACCAGAAATCCGTCTTAAATCTCTTGTAATTAAATCTTGAACGTAGAGCGTGTAGCATCATCGCGATTTGGTATCGATGTTCTCCAGATAACAACGGATCAGTTTGCTTTTCTTGGACGATAATAGGTGAGCTTCGTCGAAACTTAAAATGTGTCTTAAGTTTTGATCATCAGTGTATATAATGATCGATGGTTAAGCGAGGGTGAATTATCGTGTATTTGACGCTGTAAAATCTGGCAATCGTAAAATGATAGGTTTCCATTTTTAAAAAAATTATTCTCTCGTTCGTTCATCGAGATGGAGATTTGGATACGTATTCTTGTAATTTGTAATAAATTTTACAATTTATAATGCGTTTAGGAAATACATTATAGAGTAGTTTGTATGATTTGGGAAATAAAGAATATTTTTAGATACTTTACATATTGAAACAAAAAAATTATTGAACAAAAATGCATTTAGTCTGTTGTATTATTTTCTTTGTATCTCAATTTTCGTTAAACAAATTAGAATTATTCTAATGGGAAGAGTGTCCGTTTATGTTTTATTCTATAATAGAATTCGTATGAATTTTTTCAACAAAACATGTAGAATGTTAAAAGTAGGATAATAAGAGTAATTAAGACACATACACGGTGTCAACTTTTATACGGTTACATACGGTCCAATCCAGTAATGTTGATATTTTCAATGCTGTGTTTATCTTCGTATATCGATTTCCTGAAACAATAATTAAAAATCCCATTACAAGCACAACGTTGATGTGCATAATTAACTCGACACTCTGAGTGTAACAAATAATCTGTATTCGAGCAAGCAATTGTTTTTCTCGTTACAATCCGAGTCTCTGTGACCAAAAATACATAATATCCAGCTGAATTCAATTGAAACTGTTTATTTCGAACAATTCGAATGATATTTCAGATAATTGCTTTCCTCACAACACAATACTTTCATTCCTTCTCGATGTTAATAAAATAAACGATATTATTTCGCCGGTTAATTTTCTTTTGAACTGGAATAATTCTATATTTAAATAAGATGCCATCGATATCTTTCTTCTTTGTTTTATAAAATTAAGAACTCGAGTTAAGTAAAAACTAAAAAAGTTAAAAGAAAAAGTGAAGTCTTAATCTTTTTTTAAAAAATTCTAAATTTCTTTCTTCGTAAAATTTTTAATAAAAAAATACAGGAAAGAAAATAATCTTAACTATAGAAAGTTTTCTAATCCAACTATAGCATAATCTATAAGTGAAAATTAGGAATAAATGTTACATAAAGTTCGTTCATGAACTCTTGGATATTGCTGAATATTGAATTACACAAGGTGTTAATCCATTTTTGAAAGATCCAATCTAGAAGCAAAAACAAACACAAAACTTGATATATATATAAAAAGAAATCAATTGAAGTTTATTTGCATTAATTATTTGCATTTACATTAGATAGAGACAGTATATATAGAACGAGGCAGATTTCTATCTGCCCCACGCTTTTAACACGAATTTAAACTCGCTCACAACTTGATAAATAAACTTCGACGTGTACACTTTTACGGAGAAGAACGTTTCCGTTTTCCATCTTCGAAATCGACTTTCCAAATGCGTGCCACGAATGTATTATTAACACCCCCCCCCCTCCCCCCCATCCGTCGTGGATTATATAGGTCCTCCAGCTTGACCGGAAAAATAGGGATCGGAAAACGTATATAACTAGGTTTTTCAACTAGCCTTGGTGTCACCTTCCAATCGCATTAACATACAGAAATGGGCGCGTGTGTTGATGCATTTTACGTGAAAGGGGTAGGAAAGCGGCTTAGCCCCTTCCAGGAAATACGATGCCACGTAAGATGGAAATGGGTCAAGGGGCGTCTGCATAAGAAAGTTAATTCCACGGTTGTTGGCGCGGATGCAGGGACGGGGGGAGGGGGGGGGACAAGAAACGATCCACTTTTAAATGATAAATTATCCGTGACGATGACGCGTCCTTCGATGAGCATACTTTTTCGCGAACGAAATCATTATTTCCATTACACTAGATGCACTATCCTTCGTTCTAATTCACGTCTTGTTAGCGGCAATTAATAATAAACGGTCTCGATTTATTTGGGCCTGTTCGAAAACAAAAACATCACACGCGAGATTTACGCGTCACGTGTTCACGTTCCCTTAAAATCTGGGCGATTTGATTTACTCGAGATCCATGCGCTCGTATCTCGCGCCAATAGAGCCACGGTGCTTCTTAATTAGTTGGAGACAAATCACTATTACGTAGGATAAACCACGATCGATTTACTCGAGAAATATCTTGAAAGAGTTAAGTAAATTGTTTATATTGAAACGTGGAGAGAAAGAACCGAGGTGAACAAAAAAAAAAATATATGAAATCTTTTTATTTTTTTCAACGAAACGTTTCATCCAGAATTTTCTGAACACGGTAAATAAAGTAAAGAAATATTAATCTTCTATCTTAATCAGAGAAATTTCACTGCCCGCGCGTCAGACAAGTGGTACAGGTCAATCATGGAAATTACGAGTGAATTACGCCGGTTATAGTCAGACGAGCGAAATATAAAGTAGCAGTAATCGAATTAGCAGGACGAATATACGATGAGTTATAATCGAAAGTAATACAGATCATCCAAATATCGTACAATTTCACGAATTTTAAATACAATTAAGATTCTCAATCCAAATTTTCGTTTCGCAAATATTACAAATACGGAAGGAGGGATGTTCGCCTCCCCCGATTGATCCCGAAAATCGTTAGAAAGCGTTAGCAGTAACGGAATAACGACACGAGGAATAGGAAGGCGAAACCTCAAAACGCTTACTGTCGAAATACTCTAATATTCGAGGCGTATTAGAGGTCAGAGAGTTTGGGGAGGGAATCAATGGCTATAGAGCTTTCAGGGAGTAGCCTTATCTCTCGAATAGTTCGGGACGACAACAGTTGCATTAAGTAGACGCTTCCTGCACACTTTACGACAACTGCCTTCACAGAAACGCACGCGGAGATTCCGCCAAGGTGCATCTATCGTGTAACTCTGCTTTCCACTTGCATCCATTGAATGCACAATTCCTGCAGATTTATATCTCTGATCGCGATATACACACGGTGTATACATTGAAATGTAAAGTAGAGCTCGAGGGACGAAGTTATCGCGAAATTATGCTTAACGAGAATTACATTACCGGGAATGAAAATAATTTTCGAAGAAACAAACAGTGGTTCTTTAGAAAATACTTGTAATCTTTTTCTTTTTTCTAGACATACGAAAGTATTTATTAATTATAAACGTGTATACCGATAATATATAGAAATATTATAATGACAAACAGAATGCAAATAATTTTTCAATTATAAATAATTCTTATTTTCTATAAAGATTAATTATAAATAGATTTATTATATTGTCAAGTCAATTGTTTAGCCGATTTATAGTAGATAGTATAGACGATGAAATCATATTTTAATTTTTTTTCCTTTCTTACGTGGGAAAAGGGGTCGCAAGTTATTTGAATATTGGAAAAGTAGGTCGTAATTCAAAAAAGAAAAAAAAAAAAAAAAGAAGAAGAAAAAAGGTTGAAAAATAGTGATTTAGATGATGCTTCTTATGCACTTCCACTTCCTTCTCTTCTTTCTGATCATCTGGCAAAGATTTCAATCTATATTACATCTCTCATCTGTATTAAAAGCTTATATCGAAAAGCATTTTCAGTTAATCAAACGATTCTCAGAAATTTAATATTTCGATGTACGTTAAGGTGTCGTAAATGCAGATACATTTTACTCGATATTAAATTCGAGGAGGGAAATAAAATAAAAATATCCAATTATCGTTATAATTGAAGCAGGAAATTATTGTTTTGAATATATAATATTTCATTGAAGATAAAATCAGTATCGAGCGATTACGTACTTCACGAAAATAAATATTATACTTTATTCACTCGATAAATCAAATATATCCGTGGAATTTTTACATTATACGTTTAATATTGTTGGACCATTTTCATAAAATAACGAAAATTTACACGAGCACGAATTTAATTAATCTTTCTGCAAATTTATGTAAATGTATTACACGTTTCTTCTTTACGAAATATATTTCGCGTTTTACACCAATTACACCATTAAAAAAGAAAAAAAAACATAATAACACATATTTATCATTATATCTATAAAATAAAATCGCATATTTGCAATCGTTGACGTACCACGCAATTAAAGAAAATTCTAATTTCAAAAAGGTATTCTCCTCGAATATTTTGATGCGTCGTAAAATTGGAGAAATCCTATTTGTATATCTATATACATCTCATATCATCTCGTGGAACGCATATCGTAAACGAGATCTCTTGTTCG